ATTGGATACTCGGTTCCTGATACAGAACGGGAATGTAAATTGTGTTGTTCATTAGTTTGTCGTAGGGTTAACGCATATGCCTGTGTAAAGATGTTTATAATATGCTTTACGGAAATATCTGTGTTTTTATATTATATTATAACTTAAGCAACCTCTTTTCAGTGATAACTAATACAGCTTCTATGCGCAATGAACATGACAATAAACGTAAGCCTTACCAGATAACGACTGGCGTCCCTGGTGTGCTTCCATTCATCATCCCATTAATGTACGATTAATAACTACTACAGTATAAACACCGGCTGGCATGAACTTGTGAAGCGCGTCACCTTGAAATAACAACGGTTACGCAATAATATTGAGAATGTGTATTTTACTTGTTCTCTTAAAGCTTTTTTCCCCTCACAATAATTGTAGTCTTTACATCTTATAGCATGGGTCCACATGTAGTCTCACCGGTAATCTGATTCTCTCAGTCTCTCCTCTTTTTCTTCTCTTTAACACATTCACACGCCGCTGCTTTTTTGTAGAAGAACCAGTACTCACGTTTATAATTTCGCCCACAGAGACATAATCCCTTTGATTATATCTAATACCTGCCAAAACCCAGATGGCATGCCCACCCATCGCTCAGTGTGATAATGCCACATTGTGAAATCTAGCCATTAATATTAATTTTCAGTCTGCGAATGTGTCTGAACTGCTGAAGCTTAAAATTCCTTAAAGAAGGCAAGGCTTGACTTACCAGGGATTTTAAGAGCATTCTCATTTCGCCTCTCTCCGTCCTTTGAGAGGTAAAACTTGTATTCAGTGGGATATGTAGACTTAAGGTGGTCTAAGTCTTTCACAGGCGACACGAAAAGGCCTAATTCATCTTACGGTCAGTCTGATTTCTTGTCAAATAACATTCGTCTTTGCGAAGTGAAGAAATGTAGCTTGCACTGATGTCTTTTGTGGAGGTTTCCGTGCTTTCTTTTTAGGGTCTTTTGTACGAAATAAACATGCTTTGGAAGCGAACGCACTTGGATAAAATAATTTCGATAATAATTCTCACTTTTTTACAGTGACATTTTACATGGTTAATTACTCAACCGCGATTCGCAGAGCCTGTCCCAGAGGAACGCGTAAGAGGATAATATCATGATTACAACCATAGCTGAGAGATACATGCCATTTCATTTAGAACTAGCAACAAGACAAGGCCGATTTAATTCCATCCAGGAGGGTCAGTGTATGGCCTTCACTCTTTATCTGTCTGTAAATTAGTCCACAAACTGTGTGAACCTGATAGCATGGAGATCTTAACATACTAATCGCCACATATGGCAAACAAAATACTCAGATGAAGAGGCAAATAAATATTTGGCAAATATTATTTCTTTACTTTTTTCTTTTCACTTGGCCATTGGCTCTGTATTTGGACTAAATCAGTAAAACATTCCCCATTTCTCATTTGTACTGTAATCTCTTTGATAAGAAAGTTGAAAGAGAATATAGAAGTAAATGTACACTTTTTAAATTAAAATATTAATAATGTGCAATAATAATGTGTAATAAGAACGTTGCAATTAATAGAACAAAAATAAATAAATAAAAATTGAATCGAGATCTCTAAGGGATTCATAAAATGTTTTCTTTGTTTTGCATATTAGTTTGTATATGGACTTAATAACACAAATTGGTGTTAGAGGTGCTAGTATTTACCAGACAATTTGTTTATCAAATGCTCAGTAACGACTGACAGCTACTCTCTTGAGTGCTAAAACTAAAAGTTTAAAAAAAATTGGCCATATCATGGAATAGTCTTGAACTCTATCACATTTACAATTGAAATACATGCGGATAAATGTATTATAAAGTTAGTCAAAGATAAATGAACACACTGGCGCTCTCTCTATCTCCATACACACATAGTGCGCGCGAGGGGTTTTACTCAGTGCTAATCTCGCTGGTAAACCATAAATGCCAATAAAGCCCCTCTTTCAACATGACATCAGCGCTGGACAACAGTTGCAGGAAAACAGATCTGCTGATGAATTGCCAGAGCTAGTGGGAAAATGAGAGGAATGAAGCATGAACAGGGCAATGGGCGTTGATTTATCGCATAAGCCCTCGGTCATTTCCATATATTAAAATGCGCCCAAGGGGCCAGTCAGTCAATTTCCTTGAGCCACTACCCGTGGAAGGCAAGCACATGACCAAAAGAAATGCAACTGACTTGCTTTTTCCCCCTCCTCTGACCCATACACCAGTATTCATTTGGTAGTCTTAAATAGTGAAACCATGCTATTTAGCCATGAAGGTCGCATTTTAATAAAGTGATCTACCAGCAATAGTCATGGTATTATGTAGGTTTGGTAATCTGGTTTTTGTGTCATCCACAGGGCCTCGCGCATTGAGCTGAGACGTTATTTTAAGCATGAATCTGTCATCGCACTTTCCTCTCACTCTTATTTCCAATCGCTTACTCTGTCACTCCCTCACACAAAAGCTCTTTCTGTACGAGCGAGCGCGCCTGACCGTGCATTGGAGAGATGGATATTGCAATGCATTTAACGTCTGGCTGATTTATGATGGGATCAGTCGCATTGTCATTTACATATTGAGATTCTGTTTGTACGTGGCGCTTTGTTGCTGCCTGATAGCTTCCATTCCTGAAGGAGGTGTAAACGCTCCGTTTGCGCTGATCAATGCCCGCCTGGAGCAGGGACAGACTTTCAGAAAAGTAAAAATGTGGAAAAAAAGGCGGTCCATCAGCCAATGGCCTGAGTGGGCACGTGCCATGGTTAGTGTTACTGAAATGCATGAACATCCCCAAATTTGTCCAGCACCGAAAGCTTATACAGAACGATCGTTCAGTCAGAAGCAAACGCTGTTTACACACGTCGCATCCTAACGACATTCATATTTGCTATTCATGCGTAAGGAAATATTCCTTTTGATTTTGTATAGATTGTTGCATGCAAACTTAAAGTTTTCACAATAGCCAATAATCACAGTTTCCGACTATAGCAAACCTCACAACTTTTTTTTAATTTAAACAAAGTTATTTTTTCACACTTGGAAATATTTCGAGCGAGGTTAAACAATGCAATGTTTCTGTGGGATGCAAGAACTGCAGAGCACAATACCTCTTGAGAGGTCCTAAAGGAATCCGTGGTGTATTTCTGTCAATCACGCTGCACGATCGCAGAAATATTAGACGCTTAAAAATGAAAGTCCTAATTAGAGCCAAAACAGCTTGATTCTGCTGTATATAATAACCTTCCATGCTTACTTTTTATTATCCAGAAACCAATTTATGCTGGTGCTTTAAAGAGCCTAGAAATCAAAGCAATTATCTGAATTAGCTTTTATAAAATACAAATAATCATATAGCCAAACCAAGAACCCTTCATGTTTCTTTGAATAGCCTGCTGTTCCTTGCTTAAAGCACCTTATTATTATTATTATTATTATTATTATTATTATTATATGTTTTTTAAAGAATTATATAATTTACGCGCTGGACTCTTAAAAGTGCTTTAAATGTATCTAGCTCCCTTTCGGCATGCTGGAGAATAGTGCGCTGCACTGAAACGAAATCAAAGGCTTCATATAGAAAATTCAGATCGATACGGTGCTTTTAATCATATGCACTTGTTGAGAACAATGACCTGAAAAGCATCGGCACAGTCAGTGTGGTACAGTCGAGCGAATCCATTGGCATTCCCAGATAGCCCTGGCGCAGAGTTGACCTTTTCACCCAGCGCAAACCTGACTCAACTTTCGCGTAAAGATCTGACACCTCGCGCCGAAAAAAAACCTACACGCGCACCAGCACCGCGATCAGTCTTTGGTCCAGAAACAAAGATGTCAGCGTATAAGCCTGCAAAGCAGTTTCACTCACTCGCTCGCTCGCTTGCTCACGGGTCACGTATTATCTCCAGCATTCGACTTCAATTCCGATCGGATCCCTATTGCATTGTGCCTTTTCCCCGCAGACTGTCACTTGTTCACGCAGCCTCTGCTTTGAGTCTCTGGAGCAGTCGCTATAGTCTGGTCGTACTTCTACTAGTTCGCAGGGGTGTCTCTCTCTTCCTCCCACCTCGTGGATTGAACTAGCTTGTCATCGCGTTCAGTTATACGCTTCATGTCTCTTTAATTTCGAATGCATCGGCGCTGTTTACGGCATCTTTATATTTCTAAATCCACGCGGCGGCGTTTTACTGACACCCCCTCCTCCCCCCAGTCGCCATTCTCTATAATCTGAACACATCTGAAAGTTATTACCCCGTCCCCTTTCTTTCTAGTGGGCTGCTCCCACAATCTATTCGTCAGTGTGTTGTTATATTTTTACAATTACACTCTTGTAGTATTTAAGTCCCACCTACATCGCGAGCGAGCGTCCTATGCCGCTCTCTATATGATGTCCCTTAAGTTTCTGTCTGTTCTGGAGGAATGTGGCGGCGGTTGAACCCACATGCCCCGGCTCGGAACCTGCCTGTCCTGTTCGCGCAACCCGATCGCGTGTCTCGCCGAGAAGCAGCTTGCGCGCTACCTCTGACTGACTGTTTGACCAGGAGTTGAGTGACTGTGTTTGAAGCACCATCAGTGTCCACTACGAAACCTTATATGCGAGGTTCCTCTCCCCCTCTCTTTGTATATATAGCATGTCCGGCCCCCTTGAATCTCCTGTCCATTGGCTTTTCGTGCTCTGTTTTCCTGCGTCCACCCCCAGCGCGCGCGCGACACACACACACACACACACTCGCCGCAGCGCACGTTGCTTTCATTAAACATATCTCCCCCTCTCTCTCTTTCTGTGCGTGCGTCTCTCTCTCTCTCTCTCTCTCTCTCTCTCTCTCTCTCTCTCTCGCCTCTTCTCCGGCCCCCTTCTCTTTCTGTCCATTGGCGCAGCGCACGTTGCTTTCATTAAACATATCTCCCCCTCTCTCTCTTTCTGTGCGTGCGTCTCTCTCTCTCTCTCTCTCTCTCTCTCTCTCTCTCTCTCTCGCCTCTTGTCCGGCCCCCTGATCTTTCTGTCCATTGGCTTCTTCGGGTCTATTTTTCATGTCCAGCCCCTAATGAGTGTCCATTGGTTTTGTTATTTCCACTCCCTCCTCCCACTCCACGGCTTTGCCCTGCCCATGTTCTGTATGTCTATGTCCATCCATCTCCTGACGTTCAAGTTCGCAGGGACGTCACGTCCGCACTTGAACTTGCAGCTCAGGGGGGCTTTTGCCATTTTTTCATCTCTCTCTCTCTCTTTTCAAAAAAGCCATGACGGCTATCCCACAATCCATCTTCCCTGCGCCATCTTTGTATTATTTCTAATTTATTTTGGATGTCAAAGGCATTGATGAAGATATTTTCTCTGGAGTCTCCCTTCTAACCCGGCTCTCCCGATGTGAACCGAGCTGAAAGCCACCACCAGCCACCATGTCTCGCCGCAAGCAAGGCAAACCCCAGCACTTAAGCAAACGGGATTTTTCGCGTAAGTAAAGACAAATATATGTTGTGCCCGTTCGCTTTACCTGTTTTTGGCTCCGTTCTGTAGCGTTGAGTTGCTGGAGAGGAGCGTAATTCTCAGTGAAGACACACTGGACACTGGACAGCGCAGATCAAGTGGACTTTAGTAAAGAGAGCGTTCCCATCTCTGAAATGCCTTTACGCGCACCCTCGTCCGCCGAAATGCCACAAAAGTTTGCTTTCCATCGCTGTACTTGGAGAAGTTCGTGCCGACTCGGTGTTTAGGCGCATATGTCTTGGCTCTCGTGCCCTATAGTCGCTTTGGCCACTTAAGAGCAAGCGCTCACATATACCGGACTGTGGTGGGTATATGCACGCGTGCTTTCGTTCGCTTATTTGCGCTCACATCTCGTGGAATGTCCCGTAACGCCGTCTGTCTGTGATTCTGGGCAGGATTTCCCCCCTCTCGCACTATTTTTGGAAGATTTTCAAAGAGTGGAAGTGAATTTTGATTGGGAAAAATCTCGTGTCCGACTGTTTACAAGCGCCGCGTGCGCGTACTACCCACTGCCAGCAAATAGAGCACGATAGTCGCCCGTGTGAGACTAACACTGCAGAGCAAGACATCTGCATATAAAATCTATTCGATTTTTAAACGTAAGCTTTTCTTACATTTGAAGCCAAACGCGATTCTGATCTACTCGTATGGGCTTTCGCTTAAAAGCAATAGGAGACGATTTTACGCTACGCTCTTTGCCGTTTCGTGTGCATTTATACAAGGATAATTTGATTTCACTTAGGCCTGTTTTTTGTCTTAAATGTCGGTGACAAAGGTAAGACGAAACCTAAATGTAATGCAACTATTTAGATACAAGTGTATCAAGAAAACCAGCCAGTTTTGCTCTTTTTGTATGCACACATTCGTACTACTGTTCTGTTTTCTCATTCCAATTATTATAATTTTTTTAAACTCTAAACATGCCTTGAAGGACTGTGGTAGGTTGCGTTTTTGTAAATAAAGTCTGCTTCGTATTTTAATGGCGCTAAAATGTTGTCAGGAGCACGACGAAACAAAACCATTTAAGCTCCTTTCTTCTTGTCTTTAGATTTTGACCCTTTGATATCTCAAACGTAAAGCTGCAAAAGCATTAGTCCGCGTTTTATTAGATAAACACGTTTGACACAAATCCCGAGTTGTTGTAACATTGTAAAGTATCGTGTAACAATATTGGGTTTCCACACACAGGCTGTGGGATCTCAGCGCGGGTTACTCCGTGTGTTCGCTGCTGTTCGTGTCAGAAATCCACCGCTAGGAGGCAGACGACGATCATAAACTAGACTCGAACCCGATCAGTTTCGCCGCTATCTTTATCTATATTTGACCATATGTTAGCAAGAGCGAAACGTATTGTATATGAACTTGTAACTGTTTTTTTTTTACCCCGTCCTGACCTGGCATGAAATGTAGAATTTTTATACCTTGTAGTTTGTAATAGACCAAGTAAACTAACAACAAAGGATGTTCAGGCAATAATAGACCAAATGTAGTTTATCTTGATAATTCATAATTACACAGAAAGCAGTTATTTTTAAAGTGTTAATTAAGAAGCTGTTATTACAAACGTTTAAAAATGACTTTACTGAAATCAAGCTTTAAATGTTCACGTTCAGGCTACAAACAGATAGCTTTCTGAGGAGAGCTATTTGAAAACATTATCAGCATATTTTTTGGTATTAAGCTGCTTTTGTTTTTAAACACTTGCATTGATTTTAAATAGCCTATCTAAAAATATAAAAAAACAGTTTAAATGCAATATCGTTTTTAGTGCCAGCGCTGATAGTAGCGGAATTTAAAGCAATTGGGAACATTTTATGTGATACAGCTTTCCACAGTTTTCACACGTTCTGAGGAAACTTAATTTGTGTTTGAAGGATATAGAAAGTAGAATATTCTTTTGCAAAATATTTATATAATTTGTTTATTTATGCATGGTCAGTCGTGTAAAGTTTCTGAAATATAATAAAAAAATATGCATACATGCGGATATCTTTAGATCGCATCTGCGATAGTAAAATAAGTACATAATATGATTATTATTACTAATTGAAGTGTTGAATATAAGTTATTTTAATGTAACGTATATTATAGCAGCTGAAATATATATGTTACCAACTTTAGAAGTTCTCGCTCGGTATTATTATTAAATCATGACTGAAGTTTTTCATATATCGATTATCTCTGTTTTATCACAGTCACACCTAACTGGAAGATCTACAGCTGTTATCATTACGAATTCATTACGAATCAATATCACTATGAATCCCTCTGTGTCTAGAAATCAGTTCTAAAATACTTTGAGTTCACTTTAAATCGAGTAGGCTTTCTTTTATTGATTTGAATGGCGAGCATTTAATCTCGAAAAAAAAAATCTAAACTACGTAATAGCGAAAAGCATTACATATAGAAGGGAAATTGATCACACTTCGTTATTGTCCTTAATGTGCAAATGTGTCCGATATTTTCCTCATAAGCACGTCTGGGAGATACTCCACATCTGCCCCTCAATATCTGCCCCAGACAGGGCTGAAGTAAATTTAACCGCCCTGCACATGATCCTAACACCTTTTTTATCAAAATCTGTACCAATCATCATCCACTAAAATTAAAATCTATTTTTTGATTCTCTGTGGTTTTAGGTTCATTAAAGCATGAAATTGGCAGCTTATAAAGAAGGTCAAGATTCTTAACCATTAGGAAGCTAGTGTAACCTCTGCGCAAAATTTCACTAAACAACCATTATAAAAATACCTGCATATGTGTGTGTCTGTGTGTGTGTGAACCTTACAGTTAACTTTATCGTGAGGGAGAATAAAGCTAATAGTCTATACTGTGTGAAGCTTGTATTGTTGCAGCTGTGACTTTTCTGGATATCTATACACGTGTTGTCCATGCAGTCATTTCATGATCCAGATGTGTGTAAGGTTGAGTGAAACAAAGAGTCAGACTGAGATGAATTTACTGTAGTTTTAGACACAGATGTTAATGCACCAAAGCAAATATAACAAAATGTTGTTGCCTTTACTGTTATATCATAATAAATCATATGTTAATAAGATGTCAAGCCCTTGCTGTTAGTTAGGTGAATATTATGTGTTATGCTTGTTCACTGAAGTTTAACTGACAGTGACTAATTTATTTTTTATGTTTATTATTATTATTATTTTTCATAACTTTTAATGTTATTACAGATCAGAAATGTAAAAGATGGATCTGAAATTATAAACTAAATTAAAGTGGTGGATTAACATAAAATGTGTATCCTTGTTCATTTTTATCCTGCTATATGCTCCCTCGTCTTGACTGCATTTATTACAGCATCTAATATTCCCTCTGCTTTTCGTTCCCTCTGTGTCGCATATGGATTCTTCCTGCGTGCAGCCGAGCCCCTGTCAGCCGTGGTCTCGGAGGAGAGGCAGGAACAGCGCGGGCTGGTACAGGTAGCTCCAGAGGGAGACCAGGACCTGCTCACCTGTGGCCAGTGTCAGATGAACTTCCCTTTGGGAGACATCCTTATTTTCATTGAGCACAAAAGGAAGCAGTGCAGTGGCACTTTGTGCATGGACAAAGCAGTGGATAAGCCCCCCTCGCCCTTGCATGGTGAGCTGAGGAGAGCCTCCAACCCCGTGGAGGTGGGCGTCCAGGTCACGCCAGAGGACGATGACTGCTTATCGACGTCTTCTCGAGGAATCTGTCCCAAACAGGAAAACATTACAGGTAACCTCATCCCATGTGATTTGTCTTTTAAATATAGAAGGACTGTGCATGTATCTGTGTGAAGAACATTCGTGGTGGAGCCGAGTTGTTGTGTGGGCCACATATCGTAGACACATGTCTTTTCTCGGTGGGGCATCTCGTTCGCAGCTCTGGAGACGTATCAGAGTGCTGAATATTTAAAAGCTGTGGGGCAGGAAGGGGAAGGGGGTATATTCAATCAAACCTTAGAGTGAGGAGCCATTACGAAGACCAAAAGAGGAACCGGCATTACTTCATAGAGTACAAAGAAAACATTTAAAATCTGATTTATTATCTCAAGATCATCGCTGCTTGGAATCAAGGATCTCCCTCAGATGGACTCTGTGGGATTTGGATAATTAAGCTCAGATTCGAACCGTAGATCACACATTCCCACCACCGACTGCATGCCTCGGTTTAGCACATTTGCACTTTGTGTTTCAAATCCTTTTTCTCTGATAACTTGTCGTTCACTCTCCATGGTAATCAAATGAAGCCCAAAGAGGCAGACTGTGACTTAAAAGTTGCAGATTTGTTAAAGTAGAGTGCAAAGGGCGGGTTCTTTATGGCACAACGGACTGCTCATCCCTACTGGGAGGAGAAAAAATAGGGATTGAGAGGGGGAAATTTTGGCCCTGGAGGGGCGGTTCGAGGAGTCCTTGCTGTGACAGGAGAGGCCATCCCCCTCGGTGTGTGTCCACAGGCTCATGGGAAATGCCTCTCTGTGCTGCACAGCCTCTCTCATGTGGTCTCGACAGATGTATCTTGATTTCGTTGTGGGTTCTTGCACAGCCACATCTTATCCGTATAAATGCACGCCTGCACATTTTCACTTTCTGTCAAAAAAGGAAAGGAAATGGAAGGCCGTTCGGGTATTTTGGTTTGTCAGGAAACAATAACACAATGTTAATTATTTGTTTCATTTTTGTGGATGTGTGTTTTAATTAGCGGTTGGCTCTATGCACTATATAAAACAGGGAAAATGCAGTCATAAAAAAGATAGTCCCTAATTTCCACTGTAAACAACTTAAAATAAAGGCAACCTTGGAATCTTAGAGCAGCGTAAGTCTAATCTTGCTTAAGCTGAGCGTTAAGTGAAATTAACTGCTTTAAATTGTCGGCGTGTTATTATGTGTCCATGAGTGTTTTGTGCTGGTGGGGCGATTTAGAGTGGCTGTTTTTGAAATGTAGAAAATGTGAGAGTGAGACTTTCCAGTCTGTTTTTCTGGCCTGGCTTTATATTTGGTCGTTCTCTGGTCTGCCTCAAAGATCAGGTTCCAGGAAGCGTCTGGGTCCGGTTAGCCCCATCAACAGTCATTTGGACTTGACCCTTTGCTCTGGGCTAATTATCGTCTGCTGAGTTCAAGTATCAAGTTTTTTTTTCCACTTGCATAGTTTGAGAAGCCTCCTAGTTTGTGTGCATATAAATGTTTACAATAATCTGCTGTGGAACAGGGTTTTGTGCTATAGAACATTTAAAATTGATCAGATATGGAGGCTGAATGGGGTCATTTGTGTCTGCTTGCCCTCTTTGTTTTAAGCATGTTGATGCAGTTTCAGCACAAATTATACAAACTTTATGCGAGCCGGTTTTCGCACACATTTCTTGTTTCTGTCAGCCGCTAAACTGGGTTATTAAACTAATTTACATCATAATGTATCAGGGTTCAGCTGATAGCGTTGGGTCACTGGTATTATGTGTGCTTGTTATTATTTTTTTTAAAACAATTTTGTGGGAAGGTCCATAACAACTTCTCAGCATGTTACTGAATCTGCTGCCATGGCAGGTCAGACAGGGAAGAGATATTAATTAGCCATATTATAGACGATTTCAGACATAACATATTCAAGGTTAGTTGTGACTGCAGCTTACCATGAATGTATAAACCAGAATAATTTGAGTGTGTGTGTGTGTGTACCTGGGTTAGAGGGTGCTCTAGAACATCACAAAACTGCAAGGTTGAAGGAAAGCTGATAGTTCAATGCTTTTAAGAAAAACAATTACATTTACATTTTTATCATTATATATAGTTATTCTATATTTTTAAGGAAGACATTTTTATTCTGTTTTCTACAGTCTTTCTATTTATACATTTTGTATATATTATTTTATTATTTTTTCTATATTATTTTATTATTTTTTCTATTTATTTTTTAATTTTGTCATATTTTTATTTTATACATTAATTGTTATTATTTATTTAATCTATTCTTAAGATGGATCATTAGACTATAGTTCAGATGACCAAATAAGGAGATTGGTATGTGTGATGTAACAACTCCATTTCCATATAGAGCTGCTCAGTGTGAGAAGAGGCAGTACCTGTCACAGAGGAATGGATTTGCTGTGTGAGCATAGAAAGTGGCAATGTGTGTGTGTGACTGTGTATTACCCCAAATAGCACAATGTATCCTGGTGAGGAGACCCTCTCCTCTCCCATGCAGTGATTTGATACAGTCATAATATATTTATTTAATTTTTAATCCTTAAATGAGATTTTGAATCCTTTCAGTTCTTGAAAATGGCAAAAAAAAAGGTTGACACAAAAGTGTCTTGTTGAATTAATGCTCTTCCCAGAGCTTTGAATCTGCTGTGATGATATAATCGACATTGTGTCCTTTGCTGCACAATATAAGACGTCTGATGAAATGTAAAAATTATGCAGAGTAACATCCTATGATCTTCTGTTTCGCAACGCCTTGTCCAAAAACATGTCGATGGAACAGATTGAATTCGCTTTGGCTCGCGATATGGGGCCATTTGGAGCTCTGAACTTTTTTTTTTATCAAGTCTTTCGCTATGGCAGCCCTTCAGAAATTATGACTGCTCTCCAATAAATCGGCAGATTAGATCGGACTAACACTGCCGCCATGCAGAACGGACCTCAATACAGATAATTGTTTTTTAAATGGCCTTTGCTGGGTGGGTTTTTAATGCCTCTAACTCTCCCGCTCGCTCGCCCATTTTGTCACTCTCTCCCTCTCTGCTATGCATATGGCTGTAGCAGTCAATGTAAATCAGGGGCATCCAATTAATATTGAATCAATTACACTGTGTGCGACTGTCTGGCATGTGAGCCGCCTGCAATTTTCTGTGCCAAAATGTGACCCAAATGAGTGGCTTAACAAAGACCCCAGCAATTTAAGCTTTTTTTTCCCTTATTTTTTTTTTCTTCCTCCTTTTTTTTAAAATCACATATTATCTGGAGCTTGACGATCTGTCATGATCATAATTATCATCAAAGCGCCTTTCTGGAGTTCAGCTGCAAGGGAGCGAGTGTGCTGACACTGATCGTTTTTTAAGAGGACTTGTGAGGAGCAGCGTTAGTCATCAGTGAGAGCCAGTTGTTTTTATTTTCTGAACCGCCCCGTGAAGTGTGTGTGTGTTTTTGACAGATGTAATAGACTTTCTTTAGAGGGACATGTGGAAATATGCATGCATACAGAGGATGCTCAGTGTCACAAGATCATTTTATTTGTGCAGATGCGTGTGTTTGCTGTCACAGCTTAATATGGGGCGACACCCAAACCTTGCTTGTCCTTTTTTTTTTTTTCAAGAAATCAAGAAAATGAATTATCAGGAAGCGACAAAGAGACATGTCTTAGCCGAGCGGCGATGGCACCCTGAAAGCGGCTCTTTATGAATATGTATTCGAACTGGGGGGGGAGGCATTCGTCTCTAATTTTCCAAACCTTTTTACTTCCCTCCACCGGCAGGATTTCTTCATACACAAGACCGGTTGTCCCTTTCAAAGAATACCGTGCTGTTGTATGCCCGTGTGTGTTTGTATCTAGTCCCTGCATATGTGTACCATCTCCTGTCTGATCTTAGAAAAAATAGCATTACGAATGTGTGTGTGAGAGGTGTGCAGAGCTTTTCCAGAGGGAAGAGGTGTAATAATAGCACAGAATGATGTTTAATTCTCTTGGAGCTGTTTTGCTGCATGTGGAGATGTGTCTCGCAGCATCCCTCTCAGAAACATTGTGATATTCTGCATCCTCGGGCTTGATTTGCATGATACAGTCGGATCGGTGCTGTGGGGGTGGACGGCTTCCTTTCATTCGCCATTCTCATCTAATGGGCTACAGCATACATTTTTTTGTTGGGTTGGGAATTTTGTGTTGCATGGGGGAAAAAACAGGAATCCATTTTTATGTTATTTGTGCAATACTTATTTGTATTCAGTTGAAATTGAGAGATATTATATGAAAAATTTATATTTGAAGGCTTTAAACCTTAAAAATCACACCGTTTTTACCAGTTTTTTGCACCAAAGCCGGTGTGCAAGGAAACAAAGGTATTTAGCAGCCAGACGGGCACTGCCTGGCAAGGTGCCACCCGCTCCGTCTCAGTTCTCCCACCCCCGCACCCCTTCATACGCTCTTAGCACCCAATGACGCTCTCAGCCCCCCCCATCCCTCCCTCCTGCAGACAATGGCATCGCCTCCTCTATCACAAGAGGAGAAATACCCAGCTCTCTCCTTTCTGTCTGTCTTCATCTCCATAATGCCACCTGATCACACCGTCTTTCTGGGACTACCTCGAGCGATCGCTTTGTCTTTCCGCCGGATGTTAGGTGAAAAATAAAAGCTATGCAAAAACGCTCAGTATCTGTTGTTGTTCGGAGGTACGTGCAGGTGTAGAGTTCGATTTTAGGTCCGCGAGAAGTGTGATTATGCCTCTGCAGAGAGATTTTGCGATCGTTTTACTGATATTCAAGCTCCCCTCTGGTCTGATCTCCTCATTTTATTTGTGCCAACATGTGTGCATGTTTTGTATGTGGGTGGACGCGCGCAGACCCACTGGGTCCTGTCGTATTGCAGCTCTCAAATTGTGTCAGATGTTTTAGAGGAACGTGTCCATAAAAATGTTTATGTACTACAAAGCATATTTATAAATCTCGGCGGATTACAGACAGCTTCTATAAACACAGATAGGAATGGTGCAGAATTGCTAGGCCGTGTGTGTGTGTGTGTGTGTG